CTCGATTTTCAATTTGACTGTTTTAGCGCGACCTATGGTAGCCTTATTTGCTTTGTGACTTTGATTGGTGTGATAATTTATAATATGTTTGGTGAGATTGGCGATAACCCAACATCCTGGTGGTTTAAAATATAAGCTGACGTCGTTAATGGGATCATTTTCATTACAAAAAATGCATTTAACTCTTCCCTTCCACTTTTGGTCGACTAATGTTACATTCACCAATTCCAAGGAAAATTGCCGATTCGATGAAATATCACCTGTAGTTTCGAATTGTTCAAATATTGCGTTGGCCTTCTTGAACAAATCCTTTCTCTTTTCTTCTAAACCGTCGGTCAGCTTGCTTAGTTTTTTTTCACGAAGGCAACCAAATACTAAACCAAGCACGCTCTGAACCATATTTTCTTCGTAAGACATCCCCTTTTTAGCGATCATCTTGGCATTTGCGAAATGATGAAGGCCATCACATTCACTCGGCTGGTCAACTACTTGTTTGACATAACGCACCAAAGCAAATAAAGTTTTGAGTTCACCAGGAGGAAATGCAAAATTTTGTGGTATTGATGCGAATGGGCCAAAAAACCACATTTTTTCATTGAGAGTATATTCCATTTTGTGCTCTGCTAGCGCTGAATCCAAAGTAATGGGCAATGTGGTCCGAACATAGTGTTCTGTCAATTGAATATCATCTTGGTCAAGTTCTTTGAACGAAAGAGCAGTTCCGTAGTAAAGTTGTCAACGAACACAAAATTTTTCGTTCGTTTGTTCGATAAGGCCTATCGAACAAACGAACGAACAATCGAACGAACTCGAACAATCGAACAATAATTTATACCATATGTTCGTTAGTTCGATAAATTGTTCGATTGTTCGAGTTCGTTCGATAAGGATTTTTTAAAAATTGTGTAACGCATATAAGCCGATACTATTGAAATACATGGTATAATATGTGTACGCGTTTTCTTTCGTATAAAAAGAAATATATAAACAAAACAGAACATGATCACTATTTTGGCCGATATTGAATATATGCAAGTTAGTTGCCGGGCGTGAATGTATGCGTGCATGTGTATGTGCATATGCAATGCTGAAATGGATTCCTGTTGACACTGTCAAGTCTCTTAACTCAAGTGACACCAACTTCAAGTTGGTGTGGGCAACTTGACGTTTCAAACGTCACGTTTGGAAACCGACCGAAATTTTAGATAGCTAGTTCGACTCGAAACAGTAACACATTAGATTTTTCTCTCTGTATTTTGTGATTTTTGCCTCAATTTTGACGCTATTTATAATAATAATTGGACTCATTCGAAGTGCTAAACCGTGTTCAACTAAAGTTTTTTTTCGTTATTTTTCGGTAAATTTGCACAGAAGACAATTTACTTAGTGATTGACAAATAAAAATAACTGTGTTATTCCACCACACGACGAATCGCGTCGCCATTTTAGTTTACAAACTTTAGTGTCGTTGATCGGTAAGTAAAAATATCATATTGTATGCTATGCTATTGAATGCTATGCTCACAGGGCCACTGCTCTCACAGGGGAGGAGTTTTTTCGTTTTGTTGTTTTTTTCTCTCTCTTAATTTTACGTTATCGCTCACCCAGAGGAGGAATTTTTTCATTTTGTTGTTTTTTCTCTCTCTCTCTCTCTCTCTCTCTCTCTCTCAATTTTACTTTTGCTCTCTCCAAGGGGAGGAGTTTTTTCGTTGTTTTTTTCTCTCTCTCAATTTTACGTTACCGCTCAGAGGATGAATTTTTATCATAATGATACGTCACATTAATTTGGTCACATTTTCTTCACCAATACAGATGGAGAATAATATGGAATTGGAAGAGGCGTTAGCTGACTGCTTTGGGGAAAGCGATAATGTAAGGTTGCGTCGGGGTCTCGCCAAAGTGAATATAGTGAAGCTTCGTACAGCGACCCACAAGGACAAGGTAAGTAGCACAGAATATATTGATCTGACTAAGTCACCAGCTGACTTGATATAGCCACATTTGGAGATTTCGATTTTGTGACAATTTGGCTCTACAATGTGGAAAAAACGCAGAAATAGACATCTAAAATATCAAAATAGAAGTCTATTTTTGCAGTTCCACGTTGTTGATTCAAATTATTGTTGCCACAAATTCAAATGCCCTATGTAAAATCTACATTGTAAATGACTATTTAGAGTCAGTTGGATGATCGATCAGTTCAATGAGGAGGTATTTGTTTCTAATGGACTTTGTCCATTATACAAAACATCACCAGGGGTCCTCCTGTGGGGGAGACTCCCCGGGGGAAGTAAACTTTTTTTAGCATACCGCATGTCTGCAATCTCTGCAGACTCTGCATCATGCGGTCAAAAGGATTTATGGCCATAATTAACGGAAGAGGTAATTCAGTTAAAAATCTTAACTTAAGTCTTAAGATGTGCAAAAATTTCCGTATTAAAAAGTTAATATAATTTGGCAATATGATTCATAATATGAATATAACAATAAATAAATATTTAAAGACAAGAAAAAGGTTGTTTTATGGGCTTTATAGCGTACAGCCCATAGAACAACAGTTTTTTGTCTTTGAATTAGTCAACGCTTAGCGTTGAACGCTATGGTTTTTTATTATATTGTAAATAAATTGTATTTGATTAGTCCGAGGAAGATCCGACGGAAGAACCGGACCCGGTGAATCCTGAGGAATCTGGTAACATTGTCCAGGTACAAGTTGTAAATATATAAATAAACCCCCAGGGGAGGAATTCTCTTATTTTTTTAAATTTTGTTTTCTTAGCAACCATACGCCGAACCAGTGCAGGAAGTAAGAGCCGATGATCAACAGGTCTACACCCCACTACGCAAGGTCCATTACACCCAACCACCTAAGTGGGTCGACCCAAGAACAATGCTGCCAAAGCCTTTAGACTTACCTGGCCCAAAGGTAAGTCAAATTAAAAAAAACCAGGGGAGGAATTCTCTTATTTTTCTCCGCAACGATTCATATGACATTTTCCCAGGGGAAAATTTCCCTGACGAGGAATAATTAAAAAAAAAGTCCTTGGGGAGGAATTAAAATTAAATACATTGTTTTTCCTTCAGTTGGAATTGTTTTCTTTACAAAATCCTTCAACACATGCGGATGATCCTCCTTGATGATGATTGAAATTAAAAATTTTAATAGTATAATTAGTGCATTAAAATCCGAAAAATCCGATTTATATAATTATTTAAGAAACAACTTGATTGGTTACGCTTCAGATGGAGAAAACGTAATGACTGGAGAAACCGGTGGCCTAATTAGTTTTTTTAGAAAAGAAGTCAAAAATCAAATTTTCGCTATACATTGCATGGCGCACCGTATGCACTTGGCAATTAGCAAGGCCTATGACTCCATTCCTTATTTTTCTTCTTTCGATAAAATACCTAACAAGTTATACAAATTTTAAAACAGCAATGCAAGTAAAAAGAGATCACATCTTAAAGGAACGGCGAAAGAATTAAATACCACGTTTTATGAATTAAATTACATTTATCGTACTCGTTGGATTTCATCGGAGTTCCAAGCGATTGGTCGATCTGTGTAAATAGATCTAATATTCTCAAATGAAACTCATGGTCTTTTCTTCTGTGCACAATTAATATAAATTTTATTATGTCTTTCTTGTTCTGTGGTCTTATAGCAACTAACTTA